ACAATTTCCAGGAACCGATGGAGATACAATTATCTATAATCGAAAGTGTTATTCCTATTTCCGTGACTTTATATTTGGGGATAGAGACTTTATGCGGTACTGCATCACTGGAAACCCAGGCATTGGCAAGACATATTTTGGAAGGTTGATGTTAGTAGAGCTTCTTAAACAAGGCCAATCAGTTCTGATAGATTGTAAAGATTGCACATTATTAATTTCTCCTGAAGGTGAACTATATAAAATAGAAACGTCGGAATACAGACAATTCGCATCACAACCGAATACATGGTGTATAATTGACGGAAGAGAGCCCCAAGTGAGTCATGATTTTTCTGGAGCAAAGCTAATTATGGTTTCCTCGCCTAAGAAAGGAATCGTTGAGAGATTTGTCAAAGCTCAGCGGTGCAAAATATTCTATATGCCAACATGGAGTGAGGATGAGATTGTTGACTGTCATAAACGTTTGTATAAAGAGAAAATTACTCAAGAATCATTGAAGAATAAGTTTGAGTTGTGTGGTGGAATTGCAAGATGGATCTTTGATATCACGATTCTATTGGAAAAAATTAAAAACATTATTGATAAGGCATCTACGTCAATTAATCCAAGAATTATAGAATATCAAGGCCAGCCCCTCATAGGTGATGAACTTACACACAAATTAATTCATATACATACGAACCTCCCATCCGACTATGAGGAAACGACAGATCCATACACTGACGCCATCTGTTTCTTTGCATCGCAATACGTGGCAGATAAATGTTTAGATAAATTAAAACAACATCATAGAGAGGCACTTCACATTTTTATCGAGAGTGCAAAGGACATATCGGAAATGGGAGGTCTCCGTGGACAGCTATTTGAAATGATATCGCATGCGATTGTTCGTAAAGGAGGGAACTTTCGGGTACGTAAGCTCTTAGACAAGGGTTCATCATACGAAGAGATTCATAGCTTTAAACCTCTAGAAGAAAAATTTTTTGATTGTGTTGAGGAGATTAAAAAGGATGAAAAATACTACCGGCCAACTTCCAAGAATTTTGAAAGCATTGATAGTTACGTCCATCCAAATAAGTTATTTCAAGTCACTGTTGCTAAGAGACATAGTATCAAACAAGATGGATTAAGGATGATTAAGGGAATTTTGGATGAATCTCGTAAAATTAACTTTTACTTTGTATTACCAAAAGATATATTTGCAATATTCACCAAAAAACAGCCTTATGAAAATATGGGAGAAGGAAAGGTACTTGACGCTTGGATTTATGAAATAGATCAATATGCGTTATGCTTAGATCTTAATCATTATTCAATTTGAGTTTTTAATTGCATAATAAGAAGTACTAATTTTGGCCGATAATGATAAACAAAATTGATGAAATTAATGGATTAGCGAGTTTAAGGGCAGGGAGTATATGAATTTGATGATACAACGTACGTACGTTGTCATTTGTAATTTTCACAGATTAAAACTTGTTCTTAAGAGATTTGCATAATAAAACTATTACTTATTATATTGATACTGGCAATTAATTATATAGTACAAAAAAAGCTCTTTTATTGATGTATTATACTTTTTCTCTCTGTAATGCTTATGGACGAGTTATAATTTTCTGAATCGTAACACCTAGTGCTCCGAAATGGTCAGTAAAACCCGGGTAGCTCGAATTTTAAACCCGTGCTTAAAAATACATCACATGACCCGGGTTCAACCTTACGTATTGTAACCGTTGAATGGGAGAGCTAATAGAATAATACAGCAATGTTGCCAATCTAACTCCAACGGTGTACGATTATTAAGACTAACTTTGGGTAAGTGAAATGGGTCTTTTATAAGTGTCAAGGAACTAGTAGGGCGATAGGGTACTTTAGAGTACTGCGTTTAATGTCAATAAGTGATGATATTGGGCGAAGCAATGACGGGTGATGCCGTTAAGGGTGATAACAAAGGGTGATCTTAAGGATGGTGATGTAAAGCGGACGATGATCAAGTTGAATAACTAATCGTAAATATCGTTCTCTACCACAAATATAAAGTCACGGAAATAGGAATAACACTTTCGATTATAGATAATTGTATCTCCATCGGTTCCTGGAAATTGT